TGAAGAACTAATAGAGCGTTTACAAAATCTGGAACGTAAACTAGATAAGATGTTAGCTGTGAATGAAGAATCATGAAGGTATTTAAGAGTTTTCGAGTTTAAAATTTATATTGGTGACTTTTTTGTCACTTTTTAAACTTATTGTCACTTTTGAGTATCTTTATGACTTTTTTTGTAGGATGGTGTGGAGAGCTTACCCGATGAAACAAACAAAATGTTTAATGACTTCCCTAGTTTTTTTTTTAGGTATAGAGTTTGAAATGAGTGGTAGGGAAAAAGATGTTGGGGTGCCTGTCAGAAAAAGTGACAAGGCAGTTAAAAAAAAGTGACAAGACAGTAAAAAGGGTGACAAGGAAATCGAAAATAGTGACAAGAGAATTGAAGAAATTGATAAGACACTTAAAACGAATTTGAATGATGAAATAGAATTTCATCAAGATGATTGGTTAAGAATTGTTGATATTGTTACTCGTAGTTTAGCAAAAAATTGAGTACTTGTGTTTTCTTTTTGTTATATTTTTCCTCATAACTTATGTCTGTTTTTATATTAATATAATTTGACATTTGTATTTGCATTTTTGTTATTGTTCATGTTTCAGCATATTGCATCACCAACTGATGAAGGCGGATTTAAAGTGATTGACAATGAATTTGAATTGAAAGATGAAGTCTGGGAAAAAGTTGTGGAAGTCATCGCTGCGATTGAAGCTGAAACTGGAATGGCAGAGGAAAATTTAGAAATTATTGAAATTGATGATGACATGACCACAAACATGTCGTTGAAGAGACAAAAGAAACATGCAACGCTTCTTCAATCCCCCTGAGTCAATGAATATGATTCATCATCGGGGACTAAGAAATGTATTGTAAAATGCACTTTTGCATTCCGAGTTGGTTTGGGCACTCCGATGGCATATGATGTTGATACTTTTGAGCTTTAGTTCGTGAAGGGATTGATAAAAAAAAATAAGCCCCTGTTTGGCCCTCATTATTATGGTTGAAAATTTTTAGAATAGTGATTGATGGGAGAATATGTGGTGGAAAAGTAGTGAAAAGTTTTAGATTTGTGTGTAATATTATTTTATTTGATGAATGTGTGGTTGTAATGAAAAGAGAGAGAAATTTAATGTAATGTAATGAAATTTAATGGGGGCCAAACAGGGGCTAAGTAAGTTGTTGCCAATATTTGTTGTTTGTGAATTTTTCAAGTAAAGTGACATTTCATGTGACTTTTTGCATTATATATGTGATGTAGGCACAAACGTTTCAATGATGAAAATTCTATTATCAATCATTGCTTCTACTTTGGTGATATTGATGTATCTACGAAATAGTGGTGGTACGAATTGTTTATTCCGAACAAATGTCTTGAAGACACGGTAATTTATTTTGTTTGTTGGTGTTTTAACATTCTTTTATATAATTTTTTAGTACAATTGATGATTTTGTAATTTTTCCCTTTTCGTGTAGCATATCGATGTGTGTTTCTATTACTTGAGGGAGATGTTAAGGCATGAGAGGATATAAGCATAAAGGCTATAACCACAGACTTTCCATTTGATGGCCAAATTAGAGGGTTGTATGCTGAATTTTGCCAAGATGAGTCTGTTCTAAAAAAATAGATTTCTCTTCTTTCATATGCTATCGGGTTGTATATGCCGTGTAATACAAGTTGGAGACTTGTTGACCATGTGCTTATGTCAATTCGAGTGTCAAATTCAACCCATTAGATTCTCAGTCATTTTGACATCCAACATATGTGCCTTAATGTATATAATTCGTATCACAAGATTGTGAGGAAATCTTTAGTAATTGAGGCTATTAAACCATTTTTTGATATAATTCTTCATTTTCATATTGGTTTCTTTGAGGGAAAAGGCATTTCGGAAAAGGATGTTTTGAAACCATTGGTTGTAAATATGATTCCAAAACTTTCACATCAAAATAACATGTTAGATTGCTTTCTAAAGATTTTTTTTTCATTAAACTTTCAAGTGTGTAATTGTCTAACTTCTTTTTTTTTCATACAGTGGAGACTGTGGAATATATGTAATTAAGTATGCCTAATACTTCATTAACGGAAAGTTAAATGAAATGCCAAAAAATTTAACATTCCACATGTTAGAAGAAATTTGGAAGCTCAATTATATGCTTATGAAAAGAAGAAGCAAGATGAGGGTTACGATACAGATAATGAATGAGTGTCAAAATGAGACTGATTTTGAAGAAGAAGAAGAAATTGATTTTGAAGAAGTGGACATGTCTTGTTATGTAATGACTGATTTAATTGTTAGAATATTTTGTGAATGTACATAAATTGGTTGGTAGTTGATGTATGTAATGACTAATTGGACAAAAAAGTGACAATGGTTCACTTATTAATTTTTATAGTTTTGGACATGTTTTCATTACAATATCAATGGATCAGAGAAGTTGGTGATGTAGCTGATCAATATTAGTACCAGTATCTAACTATAACATGTTTGTAATTTCTAACATGCTATGAACTTTTAGAACAAAAAATTACATAATGTCACCTTTTTAATAAAAGTGACGATTAAAAAGGTAACATTGTCACTTTTGTTTTAACATACTAGACATTTGTATATCACTAATCATAATCGAGGTCGAACGTATCTTAGTACTCTAAGGTCAAAGTACACAATATCATCTGATTTAGCAAGGCATGACATAATCAGTTATCCAAAGAATTGCAATATGTTACCTAACTATAACATGTTTGTAACTTTTAACATGTCAAAAAGTGACAAAAAAGTGTCACTTTTTTGTTAAAAAATGTGACATTATGTCTCTGGTTGTGGTAGTTCGATACTTTGTATTCATGCTGAAAGGCTGAGCGGAGGATGCTGAAACCTGATCGATTTATTAAGTAACAATGCTTCTAACTGTGGATTCAATGTCAATGAAGTATGATATCCATGGTCACATAAACATACATGCAACAAACCATTTTTAAAGAAATTTCATCTCCATCAAAATCTATTGCCACTTTTTCTAACAAAGTGACATACATAATAAACTTCAGAATTGATATTTTGCTCAGAATATTTGAATTGAAAAACATTCTAAAACAAAAAATTTCAAATAATCTTGTTTCATATGTCTTTCAACTTACGTTTTTTTTGTGGTTTCTTTTTCACATTTGTTGGATTTTGACATAAGCTACGATTGTGGCCATTATTCTTACATCTTCTACATTTTGCACTTTGAATTTTCTCTCATTTTGATGATATCCATTTTTCTTTAGGTCTTCCGGATTTTCTTTTTGGATTAGGAGCCAGACTACTCTTACTTTTACCTCATCCGGTACATTCCAGTCATTGTGATCTCCAAGTAGAAAACTTGTTCCACCATATGTTTGAATATACATATTTGTTGTATAATATACCGAACAATATGAATATGAATCTCACTTTATTTTTGCAATAACCGCAAGTGCGTGTGCACAAGGAATTTTGTCCACTTGGAATTGGTGGCATGTGCATGTTCTTTCTTCCATATTCAACCAATATGTGGTACAACCATAATTAACTTGGTACAATATCGAATTTGAAATTGATAACTGTGTGAATAATACAACAAAATACTCTTATCAATAAATTTGTCACTATTTTAT